CTGCAGATTTTCATCCTGTACATGTAAAGCCACCCTTTGCAGGGCCTTGAGGCAAACTCTGTGTCTTCTGTGCCTGCCCTCTGTACAAAGCTTCCTCAGCTCTGGTATTCTGCTCCACAAATTCCAGCCATCATAGCAACTCCCCACTCCATTATCTGCCTCAGCTCAGCACAAACACCACTTACTCAGGCTTCTTTCCCTGTATCAGAGTTGTAACTGGGGAAGTCCGTGCCCAGTGTGAGAGCCCGGGCAAATAGTAGGGTTAACTTGAATGTTTCCCTTCTTTTAAGGAGGATAGCCTTGTGCCGCCTGTTGTTCGATGCCTAAAAAGAACTGCCTTGCATGTTTTGTTCAGTTTTATAATTGTGTAGCACCTGAGGGCAAGACCAATACCAATAATTCTATTATGGCTGGATGTAGAAGGCTCCTACTCAAAGTCCATATTCTTCACCACATTAGTAAATTATCTCTGTGATGGGATTCCACATTATAGACAAAAATGTTAAATGGGAATTTTTTTTTAAGATTTACCTATTTGAGAGAGAGAGAAAGAGAGAGAGGGCATAAGTGGGGGAGTGGAGGGGCAGAGGGAGAGTCAGAGAATCTCAAACAGACTCCCCGCTGAGCATGAATCCTGACTTGGGGCCCAATCCCATGACCCTGAGATCATGACCTGAGCCGAAATCAAGAGTTGGATGCCCAACCGAGTCACCCAGGTGCCCTGGAAATACATTCTTAATAATGTGGAAAAATATCAACAGGGATAGAGAATGAGAGAGATGAAAGGGTAAGAGATTGTTGTCAGAGAGTGCGGATGCTGGAATGTAAGATTTCATAGATGAAACACATGATAACAAGATCTTACAGGCACAGATGGCTTAAACAGAACAGTGTAATCTCTATGTTTTGCATAAAGAGAAAACAGTGATCTGTTAGCCACCAGATTATGGCCTTTGATGGCAAGAACTGGGTGAATGGTGATGGAAAATAAGCAACCATCTAAACAAAAGGAAAACAGGAAAGCAGGACAGGTAAAATTTGAGAGAATACCAGAGTTCAGTTTTGGATAAATTTAAGTTTTTCTTAAAAAAAAAAAAAAAAAAATCTACAGGATATCCAAGGAACTGTCTGGGTAGGCAACTGAAAATACAGATCTGTTGCAAGGAAAATATGGTATAAATCTGAAAGTTACTACCATAAAGATTATTATTGAAGCAACAGGACTGGATGAGATGATGTAAGAGGAACATATATCTTTAGAATAGGGGTCTAAGGTAAAAACCTAGGGAATCCCAATATTTTATAGTAGGCAGGTAAGACTACTAAGAATGGATGTTCAAAGGGGCGCCTGGGTGGCTCAGTCGTTAAGCGTCTGCCTTCGTCTCGGGTCATGATCCCGGGGTTCCGGGATCGAGCCCCACATTGGGCTCCCTGCTCAGCAGGGAGTCTGTTTCTCCCTCTCCAACTCCCCCTGCTTGTGTTCCCTCTCTCGCTGTGTGTCTTCCTGTCAAATAAATAAATAAAATCTTAAAAAAAAAAAGAATGGATGTTCAAAGAAGTAAAAGGCGATATAAAGAGGCAATGGGCTTTAGTAGTTAAGATCATGGACTTTGGAGTCAGTTCAAATCCCAGCTGTTAAACTTCTAAAACTACATGACCATGAGAAAAATTACTTAACCTTTTTGTGCCTATTTTCTCTTCTGTAAAACACAGTGAAAAATACTAGCACTTGCCTAATGAGAGACTATCCAATAGCTCTGGAGGCTCATTCAGCCCCAATCTCCTGTCCTCTCAAACGTTTAGTAGCAAAGAAGACAGCTGGATCAACAAATTTGAGTTAGCTCAACAGAGGAACAGGAAGGTTCCCCCTCTCTAACAAGGCCACTTCATCTACAAAGAAGTTTCCATTAGTACATAACTACACAGATATTCCCTACCCCACCTCAGTAATAAATATATAGAATATTATGGAGGCAGGGGTTCTTTCCACTGGAACTTTGAACACAGTGCATGCAGACTATGCCAAAGCTATAGGATAAGAGTTTGAGAGATTGTGTGTACTCTCCTACTACTGTCTCTGTAAACTTTTCCTCAGTAAACTATTTTACATCTATATCATATGGTACTATGGTGCTGTGTTGCATGACCTCCTTGAAAGATATTTCCTCATAGTTGTTCCTCTATTTGTTCCTCATTACAAATATAATACTACTAGTAAAGAGTTTACAAACCTGCCTGGCACAGAGTAAGCGTTATGTAAAGGTTAGTTATTTGTTTTTAAAAGGAGAATCAGGAAAGACTAGCAGTGTTCTAGAGTCAAATCAAGAGATAACAAAGGAGAGCTGGTCAACAATGTCAAATGCTACTAAAAACTCAAAGAATGAAAATAGGACACTGGGTGTGGCAACAGAGTGGTAGAAGTCAGATTGTATTAGGTTAAGGATTGGGTTGGAAGTAGAGTAAAACAGGGCATATAGAATGGTTTTTCTAAGAAATTTGGTGGCAAAAAAAAAAAAGACAAAGTACAAAGGTTAGTGTTTTTTTGCTTGCAAGTGACAGGAATCCAATTTGAAGGAGCTTTATAAAAGGGCTTACTATAAGAATATTGTGATGTCTCAGAAGGCAAGGTCAGTAATGTGGCAGAGTCTCAAAAGCATGTGGAACCAGGATCTTCAGCTATTCTTTTTCTTCTTCTGTGTAGGTTTGTTTCATTTTCTCTCCTCCTTTCTCCAGACTAGTTGCATTGCTGCTTTGGCCAACATGGCAGGAAAGAGCTATCAAGAGCTCTGGCGTCCTGCATTTTACAGTCCAAGCATGCAAAAAGATAGTGGAGTTTGTTTGCAGTTTGAGTTTCATAATTCCTGAGAAAAGACTCTGGCCCTTAAACTAAGTGTCTAACCCTGGATGAATCAGCAGTAGCCAGGGATGATAGAGGTGAATGGATTGGAGCATAACATGACTATTCCTATTGCAAATATATATGAAATGCAATACGATGTGGAAAAAGTTCAAACAAAGTAAGTGTGCACTATAAGGATACACAGTATTTTCTTGAGGAGTAGGTATTATAAAGATGGGGTTTTAGTTTTTGTTGTTTAGGCTAGGGAAGGGATTTGACCATATTTTAATGAATGGGAGAAATCAAAGGGATAGGATTAAAGATAAAGGACATGAGGAATTTTTAATCTCAGGAAACAAACTGAGGGTTGCTGGAGTGGTGGGGGGTGGGAGGCACAGGGTGGTTGGGTGATAGACACTGGGGAGGGTATGTGCTATGGTGAGTGCTGTGAATTGTGCAAGACTGTTGAATCACAGATCTGTACCTCTGAAACAAATAATGCAATATATGTTAAGAAAAAAAAAAAGCAGGAGGGGAAGAATGAAGGGGGGGAAATCAGAGGGGGAGACGAACCGTGAGAGACGATGGACTCTGAAAAACAAACTGAGGGTTCTAGAGGGGAGGGGGGTAGGAGGATGGGTTAGCCCAGTGATGGGTATTAAAGAGGGCACATACTGAATGGAGCACTGGGTGTTATGCACAAACAATGAATCATGGAACACTGCATCAAAAACTAATGATGTAATGTATGGTGATTAACATAACAATAAAAAATTTTTTAAAAAGGGGAAGAATGGAATTTAGTGCACAAGTACAAACACTGGCCTTTTAGAGAAATAGGACTTTCTAAGGTAGGAAGAAAATAGGAATGCATGCTGGCATATAGGCAGGTCTAGAAAGATGAAGGAAATTGGGGGAGATTGGACCTGAAGATCTATGAAGTATGTGGATAAGTTATCTCTTGAAAGTATGGGAGATACAGTAAAGGGGGTAGTTGAAAAGAATAACAAATATTAACATTCCTGTCAAGAGGAAGAGGTTAAAGTTTGTCAAAATTAAGAGTCCAGCTCAGACTGGAAACTAAATTAATGAAGGTGTCAGAAGTACAATGTGACTAAGTAATGTTCACTAGTCCGTGAACAAGAGCTCATAAGGCAGATGGTAGAAAGTCAGGAGAAAGGGAAAAAAGGGTGCTGGCCAAGAGGACTGAATCAGTAATTCAACTCTTAGAGTCAAGTCACAAGTGAGTAGCAGTAAAAAAGATAAACTTTATTCCACTCCTGATAAGTAATTACACATTCTGAATTAGTGTTATTGAAATGGGACTGTCAACATTAATGGCTTTACTGTTTACATATTAGAAAAAATTAACTCCTAAGGACACATTTATATACACTTTAAATATTTGGTCTAAAGAAACAAATTGAACTCTTTAGAGATTTTTAAATTTGAAGATTTAAATATGTCACCTTAATTTTGCTGCATTATTTTTATTCTACCATAAAGTTAGCCATGTATAAATGGGGCCACTAGCCCAAAGTCCATCTCCTGATACTTAGAACAAATCAGTTTCTTTGGAACACATACTTCTGTCATTATGTTAAATAATTCCACCTGTAAAACAGGAATAATAATAGTATATACCTCACAAAATAGATTATGTGAGGGGTGCCCGGGTGGCTTAGTCTGTTAAGCATCTGCCTTTGGCTCAGGTCATGATCTCAGGTCCTGGGATTGAGTCCCACATCAGGCTCCCTGCTCAGCGGGGAGTCTGCTTCTCCCTTTTCCTCTGCCACTCCCATCTCGTGCTCTCTCTTCCCCCTCTCAAATAAATAAAATAAAATAAAAATAGGTTATGTGAATTTAGTGAGTTAATATAAAGGGCTTAGAATAGTGACTGATAAATGGTAAACACTCAACAAAAGCCAGCCATTATTAGTACAATTGTGAACCTGTGGCAGAATGACTTCTAAATTCATATTACTCATTTTAAAAGTAAAGTATTACTAGAACAGTAAGCAAATAACGTTATTCTAATTGAAAATATACTCAACGTACTTATTATTCATTTTAAGTGATTTTTATATAAAAAACAAAGACAAAGCAGCAAGTTTAAACCAAAAATGAGTAATGAATTAACTTTCACAACTTTTTAAAAATATACTGAAATAAAAATTTATTCAAAAGCAATAAAACAACAGCTTCTATGAAGTATGAGCTACATGTAATAAACACTGTACCAAAAATCTCATTTTTCATCATATCAACATCTTCATTTAATTACAAATTTTCTCCCTGGAATAATGCAAAAAAAAAAAGATTAGCTTTTGAAATATGCTTATATTAATTCAGCATTAATGTCCACTATAATGATCAGGAGCATAACTTAAAGCAAGAGTGGGAAATATTTACTCAATTAAGAAATATGAATCAGAAAAAGTCAATAATGGACCACATGGAATAAAAAAAAAGCAAGTAATTCTGGTTGGGGACCTTGGGAGGGGGTGCAAAGTTAAACTAAATTGATATAAAAAACAAAAACAGAAGACATAAATATTTAGACACTGGTGTCACACTATAGTTTGAGGGCACAGTTAAGGAAGACAGATGAAGGGCTACCTGAAGATAGTGAAAAAGAAGAGAAATAAGAACAGGAAAGGGAAATGACAAGAGAGAAATGTTTAAACAAAGAAATAGCACAACACAGAGAAGTAGAAAAATATATGAAAAAGGCCCAGGAGATTTTTTTTTTTTTTTTAAGAGGGAGAAAAAGAGAGCAGGGGGAGAGGGAGAGAGAGAATGAGAATCTCAAGCAGGCTCCATGCCCAGCACAGAGGGGTCTCACAACCCTGAAATCATGACCCGAGCTAAAATCAAGAGTTGGACATTCAACTCACAGAGCCACCCAGGCGCCCCCGGCCCAGGAGATTATAAAAATACAGGTCAAATACTCTTGTTATACCCTGGTCTTTACTTGCTAGGGATTTGAAAATGTTACCATGTCCTTAGGTATTACCTGTGGTCTTGCTTCACCTTGTTTCTTTCCATCTCTGTTTTCCCTATAGCCTACTTTCTCAATTCTTATTTTTCATCTTATTGCATGGCATATGGACCACATTTGTAAACTATTTTTCCTTTTTGGAAATAAGATGGATATAAACAATACTTCTTATAACTTCCTAATAAACTGTGAAATAGCTAATTAGTATTCGCGGCACAGTATTACACCGTTCAAATCTAAAACAGGAGTTTTTAACTTGCTGTCTCTGAACTCCTTTGATAATGTGTTCAAAATTTTGTGCATGTGTAATTTTTTGTGACTTCTGAAGCTTTTGTCAGCGGCTTTATTGTGAATGGAACAGGCAACATAGTTAACTTAGGAAAATCATTTGGGCTACAACACAAGTAAAAGCTAACACTTATTAAGCACTTCTCACACAATAATTTCTAGGTTTTCTTCTGCTGTATCCGTGGACTTTAAAACTGCACATTTTGGGGGCTCCTGGATGGCTCAGTCAGTTAAGCATCTGCCTTCGGCTCAGGTCATGATCTCAGGGTCCTGGGATCAAGCCCAGCGTCGGGCTCTCTTCTCAGCGGGGAGTCTGCTTCTCCCTCTGCCCCCCGCCCCCATTCTCTCTCTCTGTCTCTCAGATAAATAAAATCTTAAAAAAAAATAAATAAATAAAACTGCACACTCTGGAGCAGGGCTGGATTAAGGCCAACTAATGCCCTCAACACAGCCTAACAATGATGCCCCATCACCCATCCATTGCTTAAAATAAAGAGCTTAAGGGTTCTTTGCACAAATCAGTGTATGACTTCAATGCCAGCTTGAGGACACTTTCAAATCAAACCTGAGTCATTCACAGATTACAATCTGTCACTGTACTAATCAAGTTTATCCTATATAAAGTTTTTTTTTTTTTTTTTTTTTTTAAGATTTTATTTATTTATTTGTCAGACAGAAAGAGAGCAAGGTGCAAGCAGAGGGAGAAGCAGGCTCCCGGCTGAGGAAGGAGCCCAATACGGAACGTGATCCCAGGACCTGGGGATCATGACCTGAGCCGAAGGCAGATGCTTAACTGACTGAGCCACCCAGGCGTCCCAAAATGAATTCTATTTACCAGAAATAGACTGTTACATATCTAGGACTCTAGGGCCATTGGAATAGAGCAGATGTTCTCAAAGAAAGCAGTACTCCCCTCCTGGGGATGATTCTGAAAATTGGTGATAGTTCTTTTTGGTTGTCACTATGATGGGGAGATCCTGTTGCTGGCATATAACAGCGGGACAAAAGATGCCAGATATATTTGCAGGGCCATTTCACCCAACAAAACTATCTACCTGGTAATCCTACTACACTTCCCTAGTCCTTTTATATTTTCTCATTTTCCAAGATAACTATTTCATATACCTTTCCCATTCTTAATCCTCTAGCACCTTACCCTGCCATAGCTCATAACCTTGCTAAGAAAACCTTCACTAAGAAAATAAAGGCAATCAATAAAGAAATTGCTCCCTTCTCACCAAATCTTCTACTCCATGTGTTTCTGTACCCATATGTTGTACTTTCTCTCTACAGTAGATGAACTGTCTCTTTTATCCAAGGCCAATTCTACTTCTCTGCTGGATTCTATCTGTTTCAGCCTACCTTAGGAACTTTATTTCTTCTACTCTGTCTTGAATTATCAGTTTCCCTGTCTACCACTAATCATATGCTGTTTTATCTCTTATTCTAAAAAACAAAACTCTCCCTTGACATTTCATCTCCCTCATTTCTTTACATCAAAAGAGTTGCCTGTTTTTGGTGTTTCCTTTTCTTCTCCTATTCTCTGCTGATCACACTCTAACCAGGCTTTATCCTATTACCCTGAAGCCATTCTCATAAATGTCATCAATAGCTTGCATAATACCAAATACATCAATTATTAATCCTCACTTTATTTAGCAACATTTAATCTCTTTTCTGAAACATGTGATATATTACGTTTTCCTTATTTTTTCTATCACACTGTTTAAATCTTACAGTTAGCTTTATTGGAGCCTCACTTCTTGCATGCTAAAAATAATTTAGCCTTACTAGTAAATTAGGCTTAATTTTGGGGCTGCTTTTTTCTACCTCCACTAATTCCCTGGACTTAATCCAGCATTATGGCTTTAGCAATGATCTATATGCTGATACCTAAATTTATAACTTCAGCCTCATTAACCCAGTCATTCGTTTGTCATCCTCACTTGGACATCTAATAGAAATCTCAAATTTAATATATCTAAAGTCAATCTTTTGAACTCTCCATGCTTCCAAATCTGTTCATCTCCTAGTATTCCCCAACTGAGTAAAAGCCCAACTACTCTTGCCAAAATCTTTGGAGTCTTCCTTGACTACTTCACTCAAGACCTACATTAAATCCTGTTGGCTCTATCTTCAAAATATATCCAGAAATGGAACTATTCTCAACACTTCCACATCTATCCTCCTGCCTACCCCAAATCATCTCTTGCCTGGATTATTACAGGTAGCCTCCTGGATAGTCTCTGCTCTTATTCCTTTGTCATTCATTCTTCCTAAAACAGCCAGAGTGATCCTTTAAAAACATAAATCAGATAAATGTCATTTCCCTAAGCAGAATCTTCCAATGCCTTCCCATCACACTTCAAAAAAAATCCAAAGTTCTTATAGGAGTTACAACACTGCTAGAGCACCCCCAGCCCCACCTTACAACCCAACACCTAGCATCATCTCTTATCTCCTAGTCCTTTCCCTCTTGTTTATACCAAACCATTAGTACCCCTCCTAGCTGTTTTTTGTACATACCAGGCAGGCTACCACCCCAGGACTTTAGTACCTGTTGTTCGCTTTCCTCCAGTGCTCTTCCTTTAGCTATTGGGATAGCTTGCTTACTTCCTACAAGACTCTGATCAAATGTCACCTTCTTGAGACACCTTCCCTGACCACCCTATCTAAAACAGCACCCCCATCACACAGCATGCTCTTACATATTTCCACCTAGCATTAGAGCATATGTCTTTTACTGATGGTCTCCCAACTAAAATGTAAGCTCTGTTCGGACAGGGTCTTAGTCATTTTTGTTTATTTCTATGATTCCAGTGCCTGGTGTATAGTAGATGCTCAATAAATAATGAAATGGCTGAAAATGATAAAAAATAAACACTGTAGTTTTAAAGGCTAGATGAAAACTAATTTTATCAGGCATTATATACAATCTTATCAGGCATTATACACAATTGCCTAGTTTACTGTTTCATCTGACTTGCTATACTCTTGAAATTTCATTTGAAAATTTTATTTAGCAATAAGAATATTACATAGTTTTTTGCTTATAAGTAGTAAATTAAGCTCTTTTCAATGTGGAGAAATGAAAAGAAGGTCTATCAGTCTTTGTCTTGGATCCAATCTAAAAATGCTTTTTAAATTTTTTAGGCCACCAATGTTATTTTGAAAATGAAACAAATGAACATTTGAAAAATGTTCTATATGCAAATTATAGATTAAATGCTTATAAAAAATGTTGAGGGGCACCTGGATGGCTCAGTTGGATAAGTGTCTGCCTTTGGCTCAGGTCATGATCTCAGAGTCCTGGGATCAAGTTCCTCATCAGGCTCCCTGCTCATCAGGGAGTCTGCTTGTCCCTCTGCCTCTGCCCCTCCCCCCCCCCCCCCCCAGTTCCTGCACACAGGTTCTCTCTTTGTCTCTCTCTCTCTTCTCTCAAATAAAATCTTTGTAAAAAATGCTGAGTGTCTGTAAGGTATGTGTAATAGGGACAGAACTGCCTATTCAGTATGATATGCTCAAGGAATAATGGAAGTAGATAAATCATGTAAATGAGATACCCTGCACCGTGGAAGTCTACAAAACAAAGGTCATCTTAATTTTTTACTAGAATGGTTTCCAGGAAGTCTAGAAACACAACTGATTTTGGAGCTCCGAAAACGTTTTCCAATTAAGCTGACCCTTGAATAACATGGGTTGACCTTTGAATAACACAGGTTTGAACTACACAGGTCTACTTATATGCTAATTTTTTTCAATAAATATATTGGAAATTTTTTTGGAGATTTGCAACAATTTGAAAAAACTCACAGAAGGCCCTCACAGCCTAGAAATACTGAAAAATTAAGAAAAAGGTATGTCATGTGCATAAAATATACACAAATCTATTATAAAAAGTTAAGATTCATCAAAATTTATACACAGACTATACATGGCGCCATCTGCAGTCGAAATGTAAACAAATGTAAAGACGGAGGATTAAATAACTGCATAAAATTAAATATAGTACTATTGTAATAATCTTGTAGCCACCACCTGTTGTTTTGGGGTGAGCTCAAGTATTGTATTGCTTAAAACACTGTGTGACATTAATCCTCTCCACATGAGTAGTTCGTCTCTCCAGTAAATTATGTATTGCAATAAAAAAGTGACCTCTTGCAGTTCTCACATATTTTTCTGGTGTTTAGTGAAATACCATAAACTTTTGAAAAACATCAAGGGACCCATACAAAGTGCTGCTAGTAATGTTGGGAGTGCTCCCAAGAAGCAATGTAATGACATTACAAGAAAAAATTGAATTGCTTGGTATGTACTGTAGATTGAGGTGTGCAGCTGTGGATGCCCATCATTTCAAGATAAGTGAATCCAGTGTAAGGGCCATTGTAAAAAAAGAAAAGGAAATTTGTGAAGCCATCACTGCAGTTAGGCTAGCAGGTATGAAAACCTTGAACTTTTTATCTTGTGTTGAAAATGCAACTTTTACGTGACTGTAAGAATGCTGTAAGAAAGGCATGCCTATAGACTCTAATACAATTCAAGAAAAAGCAAAATCATTGTATGACAATTTAGAGCGAAGGAAAGGTAAAGGGTCCAAAGCTGGAGAATTTAATGCCAACAAAGGATGGCTTGATAATTTTAGAAATAGGTTTGTACTAAAAAATGTCAAGGTAACCAAGAAGCAGCAGACAGTTCAGGGACGCCATTAAGAAAATCACTAAGGAGAAAGGATTATCTGCCTGGACAGGTTTTTAATACAACAAAAATGTCCTATTCTGGACAAAAATACCCCAAAGCAATTTATTTTTATGACATGGACCCTTCTATGATATGGGCACTGAACCTAAAGCAAATGGTGGAAGAAGGATTGGTACCGTATTAAAACATTTTTAAAGAAATACAAAAGCAAAAAAAAAAATCACAGAAATTGTGATGTATTTTCCTAAAATTATACCAAATGTACCTGCCTCTCCTGTCTCCCCTTCCACCTCCTCCAGCCTTTCTGCCTCTGCCACCCTTCAGACAGCAAGACCAACACCTCCTCTTTCTCAGCCTACTCAGTGAGAAGACAAGGATGAAGACCTTTATGACAATCCACTTCCACTTAACAAATAATCATGCCGTACAGTTAATAAACTTATCTTTTGAGTGTTTCCATGTGAAAATCTAGTAACGTATGACAAGAACTGGATGAGACATTTATGTGTCACCATCATCACCTAAGTACCGATCATATAGAACATCACGTGCAAGATCTGTATGGAAGTGGACAGACCATCCTAACATGGGTGTAAGGTAATATTTAATATAAACTTCATAATGTGTTAGTTTTCTGTTTTATAACTTTGCTTTCAAAGAATAACATCACCATACAGTGTGCCCTTCTCTCTAGTAAATGAAGAAGGTGCACAGCAGCCCATCACAGGTAAGTGGTTTTTAAAAAAATATAACACTGTTTCCAATACTGTATTGTGAATATGACTAGAATATTGTTTGCCATAAAAATTTTTATAATGATTCATTCATTAGCGTTTAGGCAAAGCTACCATAAAGCATTCATCTTGCTACTGCTTCCTTTTCGATGCATGAATTATTATACCTGTAAATGAATAGGAATTTTTCACATTATCTTTTCATTTTTGATATCTGGTATTAGTTATGCATATAACATATACAGTATTTTGTGTAAGACAATATTGATGTAGGTACTGACAGACAATTCCTCTTAAACAGATGATACAGACTGACAGTATCAATAAAATCTGGTACTGTAAATATACTTTCTCTTACGATTTTCTTCACATTTTCTTTTCTCTAGTTTATTGTAAGAATACAGTATATAGTATATATAACATACAAAATATGTGTTAAGTTTACTGCTTAGCTTATCAGTAAGCCTTCCAGTCGACAGGCTATTTCTAGTTAAGTTTTGGGAAAGTCAAAAGTTATATATGGATTTTTAGCTGCACTGGAGTGGGGGAGGTAGTTGGGGTCAGTGCCCCTAACCCCTGCATTATTCAGGGGTCAACTTTATTCTAGAGTTCAAACTACTTTCCTAATATGAGGCAGACTTAGTTCTGTATAGGCTATTTTAATCAAAGTTAATTTTCAAAGCTAAATTCTCAACCCTACTTACAATGGATTTTTTGAACTTTCAATATTTGCACATCACTTAATGGCATGCTTCATTTCAATATATGGATTTTCCTACAAATTATTATAACTTCAAGTGTATGACATACATACCTGAGGTAAACCAGCACCTGTTTGCATAGAAGACTTTTTTAACAGTCTCACTTCTTTGTTTATGTATCTTAGCATTCCACTGAGAGTACTGAAGTCATTACTCTCAGAACTATCATCTTCTGGGTCATACGTGAGCGGTTTAAATGAGTCTGACTGGGTGTAAGTCAGATCCTTCTGGCTTTCTTCTAATGTTGAAGGCTGTTCTAACTGCATTTTTTTTAAGTCCTGTAGCAATTCTTCAGAAAGATCTTCATCACTACGTGTCTTGACACTAAGGTCACTGGCACTAATAGAGCGACGTAGCTTTCTACACTTGAAAAAGGCTGTGTGAGAATGTTTAGCAAATTTTGGATCTTGAATGTCAGGCATAATTTCTGTTGCAGATGTAAGCAGGGCTGGTAGAAACTTGATGTCTTCTGTCCTTTCACACCCAGAAATTTTGGCTTGTAATCTGGTTAATTCTGATTCCTATAGAAAAATAGGCACATAGTAGGTGTTCAGTACATTTTTGTTAAATGAATAAGTTACTTAAATGTCATCCAAGAGTCCATGATTTTCTAAGTCAACCTTCTGCCCAGAACACAAATTCCTTTTAAAACATCCCATGAGACTCCAAGCTCTGTTTAAATCCTTCATTTTGGGACAATTACATATGTTCACTGGAAATATGTTAAAACTATGCTAAGGAATCCCATGAAAACTAGATTTACCTCACACCAATTTTTTCTTTTTAAGTGCTAATGATAGCACTTTCTAGTAATTTATATTTAAGACTGAAATCTTGGGGCACCTGGGTGGCTCAGATGGTTAAGCGTCTGCCTTCGGCTCAGGTCATGATCCCAGGGTCCTGGGATCGAGCCCCGCATCAGGCTCCCTGCTCGGCAGGGGGCCTGCTTCTCCCCCTCCCTCTGCTTCTCCCCCTACTCATGTTCTGTCTCTCTCTCTGTATCTCTGTGTCTGGAATGAATAAATAAAAAAATTAAAAAAAAAAACTGAAATCTTACATCTAAAAATTTCTTTTCAAAGTATAATGGTACACTGTCTTTTGCTAATCTAACGTATATGTACATACAAAAAAACTACTCCCTTCAGAATTTTTTTTTTTTTTCAAGACTTTATCTATTTACCCGAGAGAGAGAGAGAGAGAATGAGAGAGAGCACATGAGAGGGGGGAGGGTTAGAGGGAGAAGCAGACCCCCCGACGAGCAGGGAGCCCGATGCGGGACTTGATCCAGGGACTCCAGGATCATGACCTGAGCTGAAGGCAGTCGCTTAACCAACTGAGCCACCCAGGCGCCCTCCCTTCAGAATTTCTAATAGGAAATAAATTTATATTAACTATTATGCTTCACATGTCCTCTTTACAAGAAAGCTTCATTACACCAGAAATTTTTCAAAGAAAAACCTTTCAAAAAGTGATTTAGTAAGGACTGACTTATTAAATGTTAAACTTTTCATTCCTACTATTTTTCCATGTCCTTCATATGGGTCCTCTGACCCAATTTTGGGATCATAAGAATGAGACTGCATATACTGAAAAACCATAAAGCCTAAAAAAATGAAGAGAAGACATACGTTAAATAATGTGTAATAGTCTTCTGTTCAAATACATTTTCTGTTTCTTATAGGTATCCATAAAATATATATTTCTAGATCACCTTTAATCTAATAATATCTATTCTTTCTAAAAATACTGTGCTTACTAAAACTGTCATAACCACAGAATACATTACAAAATGAAAGTTTAACATGCTTATTTCACTTCTTTGATATCTACTACTTTATCTAAATGTTATTTACAAGCAGCTAGAGTGCCAACTTTTGTAGTAAATCTTGTATTTACATTCTGATAATCACAATAAAGTAGCTACAGAGTTAACACACACAAGGTTATGTGCAGTTGAAATATTTTTTAACTCTAGCCACAGAGTTATCTAGCCATAATTGAGAATTGTGGTATCTTAGATAAATAGGAGTCCATGTAACTTTCAGTTTAACACTTAGCTTTTATAATGAAATGTAGTATACTGAATACGTTAAACAGAATTCAACTTTTTCTTAAGACTTGAAGAATTTCACTGTTGTGGTCACTATTATAATAGTGTGCCATAATATAGTAATGCCTTTAGGGCTCTCAGCAACTGGTCTAAGCTTTGCCCTTGCTCTAGTTAACCTCAAATAACAGGGTATTTGTGAGGGTACTAAAGGAAGTGAGCTGGAAAGATCAGTTGCCTCAAACACTGTTCTTTCTTCTCCCTCACTTCTGTTTCTGTTCTCTGTCATTTACTGCTGCTGTCAATGGAATTGCTGTCCATCATTTATAGCTACTTCTAATTGTTATAGTTATGCCAACTTCTGCTCTTCTGTTAGCTTTTTTTTCTTCTATCCTCCTTAACTCTTCTTCAGTCTAGACTTTAGAGCCAGTTAGTACTGACTTTGAGAATCACTGTCAAAAACTTCTGAATAATTAAGTGCAATCCAATTCTATTTATTTCATTAGTAATAATTAACAAGTGAGCAGAGATAACTATAACAAGGAATATACAATGCAGAGTCTTTAAAATTTTAGTCAATTTTTCACAGTGAAGTTCTATAATTTTATATAAATGTTGTAAATCTCCAGAACACTAGGTATATTTATGTCTCTAAAAAAGCATATAGTGTTTGTTTGATCTAATTCATGTCCAGCGGCGCCTGGCTGGCTCAGTGTAGCACGTGATTCTTGATGTCAGGGTTGCCAGTTTGAGCCCCATGTTGGGTGGAGAGATTACTTAAAAATAAAATCTTAAAAAAAAAAGATTCTGTATATTCAGCTTTCCTTACTGTGAATAACAGGTATATTATAAAAGGAATTTGAGTGCTCAGCTTAGTAACTAGAAATATTTCTAAAATATTATTTGAATTTTTTTGCTTTTTAATTTCCATTTTGTAATAAAATCATTTATTGCTTCATAGCTAACAGTGAACTTTTTTGTAAGGTCTTAGCTAGCAATGTTAATCTCATACATATTGGTAGTTTTGAACTAATATTAAAACTTTTTATCTCTATGCATCAGTACTGATATTAATTCCAAATTCTACATTAAACTGCCATAATCAATAGGAGTGAATCAGTAGCAATGGGCTATTATTTGAAAAATGATGTACAGTAAATTTTTTAAAATACAAAGGAACTTTGTTCAATGAAAAATGCTCCTACTTGTAGGTACATTAAGTGTGGAACCCTCTAAAGTAAACATAATTAAGTCTGTATTTGAATAAGTTCTAGTCTGAGATGGTGACAGAGGTGATTCCTCCCATGACACACTGAATCTACAGCTACACATGGAGCAATTCCCTCTCAAAGAAGCTAGTTGAGCAACACCGACACATTGGGTTAATAATACCTACAAAAGGGCCATTCAGTGGGAGAAACACTTGAATCCCAGCTTCTCCCTGAGGAGTGAAGGGTTTGGGTCCCACATCAAACACTCCAACTTTTAAATACTGCCACTTGAGGGATGGGTGCCAAAAACCTCCCTCTAGAAAGCTAAGAGGACTTGTATTCATGAGACCTACAAGACTAAACAAAAAAACCCAGTTCTTAATGGGCTCACAACAATGTGGTATACAGGGGAATATGTTCCATACAAAAGAATAAGCTGAAACCCTAAAAAACAGAAATTCATGAGACACAGTGTGATTTACCTGACAAAGAGTTCAAAATAACAGTTATAAAGATGCTCACCAAAGTTAGGAGAATAATGCATGAACAAAGTGAGAATTTCAACAAAGAGACAGAAAATACAAGTACCAAAGAGAAATCACAGAGTGAAAATACAATAACTAAACGGGAAAATTCAACAAAGAGCTTCAACAGCAGACTAGATCAAAGAGAAGAAAGGATCAGAGGACTCAAAGGGCAGTAGAATTCAATCAGAGAAGCAGAAAGAAAAAAATGAAAAAGGGTGAAACTAGCCTAAGGGACTAATGGGACACCATCAAGAGGACAAACATACAGGGGTGCCTGGGTGGCTCAGTTGGTTAAGCGACTGCCTTCGGCTCAGGTCATGATCCTGGAGTCCCGGGATCGAGTCCTGCATCGGGCTCCCTGCTCGGCAGGGAGTCTGCTTCTCTCTCTGACCCTCCTCCCTCTCGTGCTCTCTGTCTCTCATTCTCTGTCTCAAATAAATAAATAAAATCTTTAAAAAAAAAAAAAAAAGAGGACAAACATACACATTATAGGGGTCCCAGAAGGAGAAGAAAGGAGCACAAAGTTTATTTAAAGAAATAATGGCCAAAAACTTCTTTAACTTGAGAAAAGAAATAAACATCCAGATCCAGGAAGCCCAGTGAATTCCAGATATGATAAATCCAGAGACCCAAACTGAAACACTTTATAATTAAATTGTCAAAAATCAAAGACAAAGAGAAAATCTTAAAAGCAGCAAGAGAAAAACTACTTCTTATGTATAAGGAAACCCTTATGGACGATCAACAGAAAATTTGCAGGCAAGAAGAGAGTGGCATGATATATTAAAAGTGCTGAAAGGAAAAAACAAAAACAAAACAAACCTGCCAACCAAGAATACTCTTCCTGGCAAAGTCCTTCAGAATTAAAGGATAAAGAGTTTTCCAGACAAGGAAAAGTTGAAGGAATTCATCTCCACTAAACTGGCCTTACACTAAATTTTAAAGGGAATTCTTCAAGCTGAAATAAAAAAAAAATGCTAAATAGTAACAGGAAAACATATGAAAGTTTCAACCTCATTGGTAAAGGTAAATATATAGTTAAATTGAGAACACTCTAATGTTCGAATTATAGTGGGTAAATCACTATAACTCTAATATAAATGGTTAAAAGACATAGGGGGGAGTTCCCAGGAAGATGAAGGAGGAGGATCCTAAGCTCACCTCATCGCATGGATACAACTGCGTAACACACACATCAGTGTAACTAATCCAGAAAATGATCTAAGACTAGCGGAACAGACTCTCCAGTGCTAAATGTAGAGAAGAGGCCATATAGAAGAGGGCAGGAAAGAGGGAGACGCAGTTGGGAGCCAAAAGGACTAGAGGGATTGTCTGCAGGAGGGAAGGACACTGTGGGCATGGAGAAGGGAAAAGAACACACCCCATGCTAGAACTCCAGGCATGAGGACCTGCACTGGGAAGATAAATTCCTTTAATATTTGGCTTTAAAAACCTTAGGGATCCAACTCCATGAGTTCTTACAATCAGTGGGGCTTACAACCTGGAACTTTAAAAATCAGCAGGCTGGGCTCTGGGCGAGCTGGAAGGGTGGAGTCCCCACCCTTAGAGCAACAAACAGCCCCATGGAGATACAGCTTGCTAACAATGTGCCCTGTCCCTCTCCTCTGTCCTCCTGTGGACTCGCCCTATCCAACCTAGCCTGGGCAAGAGTTTTCAAAGTGGATCCAAGTCCCTTGCCGTAGCAGACTAGCAAATACCTTGCTAACACCGTGCAC